AACTCAACAACGCCTGGACCAATTTGGTCAATTCTTTTTTTTAAATGTTCGTTGAAGTCCAAGGATGGTTTTTACAGAGAGAAAAAAAATCGAATTATTGCTATTCAATAAAGTTCATATTATATTACAAACATTCACTGTTGTCTAAGCAACATCACCAGTATTTCAAATATTTCAAATTTCAAATGTATGAATTATATACTGTTATTAATATATGAGCTGTAAATAATTTAAATACATATTAATATTTTACAGAGTTTTCTTTTTATAGCGTGTTTTGTGTAAAGTGTTTAATTACCTATGATCACTAATTATTGCATGTGACACAATTTATATTCGATATGCCTCCTGTAAGACGAAGTAATTTAGGTAGAAGAACCCGAAATGCTACAAACCAAACTAATTACCGATCTAATCATACTGCACAAGAACGTGACGACCGAAATGAACTTAAAAGAATTCAGATTAAGTTGGTTAATCTTTATCTCCATTATCCAAGCGAGCCACCTATATATTTGTCACCTTTAGGTTTCCACAGATTATTTTTAAATCAGGTTTGAACCCTAAGTTCGCCTCTTAGTTTGAAACCCTCTGGCAGACATCCCAGTCGGGGTTTTTTAGTGGATCCCAGAAGGGTGGATAAAGTTCTTGGAAAAGAAGATACTTTGGTCACCCGAGCTGAACTCCACACATCAGAGTGACAGAGTGACTGGAACAAAAAACTGCCAAATTCCAAATTTTTTTGACAGAACGAAGTCTGTCGGGTTCTCAACTATTATAAGTAACTTAACAACTCTTAAAGAATAACTCTCTTATTTAACTTATTCTCTTATAAAGCTTTATATATGTATATATATTGTATTAGTTTTAAGAATTGATAATAATAAAATTAAGTTAGTCATTAATATACTTAACTTGTGTAGTGACCTTACTAAATATAAAAATATACAGATGATACCTTATTATTAAACATTAATAAAAGCTAAATATACATACATTCTTAATATATTATACACATATATTATTAACTCTTCAAAGCAAACAATTTTAATTAAATAAAATGTTGGTGATATTGTTTTTATCAGTGTTGAGAAAACAAAGCGGCACTTAGACATCTAAAAAGACGAAGGACTTGAAAGGATATGACTTTTCATGCAAAACATAAACAGCAAAAAATCGCTACACAAAACTTAAGGAATAATAATACAGTGGCCCTGTATTATTATTCGCACCGCCCGGTACCTTTAAATTATTAATAATTATTATGTAGATGAGAAATACACACATTTTGATGAGAAATACAAATTTTGTTAGTTACAGAAATATGTTATTTATTTCACGTCTAGTTACAAGAATATAAAATTTTAGCTTAAATAGACATTATAAATCACTTCACTATTCCAAAAAATTTCTATAGCATTTAATAAGTATATTAATGGTTTTCCAATGGCGCAGTCAGACTTGGGGTTTTTCGTTGTGATAAATTCATGGTATAATCTTCTCAGATTTCCACTACAGATTGAACCAATTTTAGAAAAACTTTGCCAGTTTTAAGTTAGTATCTCCAAAACCAGGGATTTGAATGTCTTAAAAAATGTTTGCCACTCATTTTTCTTTCAATGTTTAAGAGCAAGAAGAATTTATTGAGTGACCACTCGGGACTGTAAGACGGTTGATCCAATTTGACGTTTTGAGTAGTCAAAAATTCTTTTATTTGAGCTGATGTGTGGGCTCGAATTATCATGGAGAATGAACTTCCCGCGACGATTGGTATACTTCAATTCTCCGAAGATTTTTGGAAAACAAATGGTTGTGTACTGTTTTACGTTGTTCAAGTGGTACAGTTGTGATATGGCCGCTTTTGCTAAAAAATAATGACACCATATGCTTGGATTTGTTTCATCCGCGAACAACTTTTATCGAGTTTTACTCACTTTGAAATGTATTGACTGTATGCTGGTTCCATTAATGCCAAAAGGCGTCTCCATCTCTTGGTATGAGACACGCCAATCTATCCCAATTATTTATCGCACGGCACCGATGTTTTCTGGTATAACATTCGTTGTTGGGCGAGTTTCACGAAATTTGTCTTGGTCGAAGCAACGATCTTGTACGAACTTATTGTCGAAGCAAGTTGATCGATGTTTTCTTCTCTGGTTAATCCACGTCAAAAATCGCAAAAAATTATTACATGAAAATGTTTATTATTTAATTCCATTTTTTTAAAGAGACACAATTTAGAATTGATGTAAAGAACATCATAAGCGCGCATTACTGAAATATTGCAATGGTATCAAAATTCATCTGTTAAACCTTAGTGTTGCCTAGGCGCAAGAGGCAGCCTAAGTATTCTACTTTTATAATTATCTTTTATTTGGAAAATTGAAATTGTAAAATTAAAAGTAAGTTATTTACAAATAATTACATTTAAGAAAATTTTCAATTAAAACAAAAAGTATTAAGCTTAATTATTTAATTTCAGTGACTTTTTGTTGACTTCACGATTCTTTAATTTTTTATATATTTATTATTATTTTAGTTGAAGTCTCAAATGGGGTACGTAGATTTTTTTTATGGTTTTGACGTTTATCGTGATTTATGTCATGTTTCACTTTTTGCTCAAGTCCTTTTATGACATACACAATGCGAAAAATTTACCTCGAAAGATGGCCACTAATAAAGCTGGTGTCTGCGATAAAAGGCTTTGCGTCCAACATTTTCAGCGACAACTTATATATATCGAAGCTTGCATCTGACAATGAGATATCAAAATGAGTTTTAATTTGGTCATAAAGCAATCATAATTACATGTTGTGCTATTTGATACCATAGAAAAACAATCAAAGCCGCACAGATGATAGAAGCAACATCTAAATAATGTTGCATGTTGCAGTAAATCGTATTGGACGCACCGTAGATGCAATTATGTCCTTTTATGGTTGCAGCTGTAACTGCGCTGCGTTGTTATGATTAAAATCTTGTGATGCCTCTATTAAAGCCATAAAAAGCACAATTGTACGTCCGTATAATTGAACAAGTACAAGTATTATATTGTCAATGCAGATAGTTTTTTATTTTTGTTGAATAATTTTGTTGGTTATATAAACAATTACAATTTTGAATAATAACAAAATTATATTCAGCATAATTGTATCTTTTTTTCATAGTACTAATTTGTCTTCTAATTGTGTTTAAATATTTAATTTTAGTCATGTTTTAAAAAGAACTGAATAAATATTATCTTAGAAAACTAGATAGGTTGCATATACTGGATTGGTAAATACATGCGCGGCGTGTTATCAATAGCAGAGCTAACACTTCAATGTTTTTAAATATTCCATTAACCAAAAATGGAATGTTCATGGCAAAGAGTGCATATAGATTTCAATGGCTAGATATTCAATTCCATGTGGCTAACAGTTGTTGACACTTACTCAGAGTTTTCAAATCTAGCATACCATTGACACAACATTAGCCTGAACAACAATTTATATAATAAGCCTTGTAACTGCTATAATCGTTACTGGAAACAATAGTTAGTGATAATGGACCTCAACTAACATTAAGCAATTTACTGAATATTGTGCTCAAGATGGTATCGATCATGTAAGATTAGTTTAAGTTATTTTTTTGGGCCAAGATTGTCAGGATCAATAAGCTAGGCAAGGATCAATTTCGTATTTTTGCTATTACTTTTGTACTTCTTAGTTGTACCTAAATTTTAATAGATACATATATACCATAATATATACATACATACATACATACGAAGCTTTGACTGAGTGACGAGGTACAAATAGCCTCGACTCTCATAAATCGATATTTGTTTTTTTGTTTCACTCTGAATTTTTTAATTTGCATTGAAAGCAAAAACAATTTTGATTTTGACGAGCCCGCAGCACTCTACATAACGTGGGCCTAAGTGGTTCTGACCCAACAACCAACCTAATATCAAATCGCAAGACTGATATTTTTACGGGGCATCTCAAACAGATTGTTAGATTTTTTATAATAAAATGGGGTCACTTTGCATACAGATACCTGCATATCATTGCAGCTTCCCATTTATATAACAATATAAGATTTCGAAAACTGTTAACACGATGACAGTGGTATGTCAAATCCTAAAAAGAGCAACCCAGGATTCAGAAGAAGTATGCTTTTAATCATGAAGATAATGTGGTTGCTCACACAGCATAAAATCCTAGCACTAGCATCAATGAATTAAAGTATTAACCGTTGCAACAACCAGCCGATCGACTAGATTAGATTAGATTAGATCTAAAAAAATTATAAAACTCAAAGAAAACAAATTGCATTAAACGAAGACTTAATAGCTGCCATAGAGGAATATTCTAGAGTCCCACAAAAGTTGTGAAATCGTTAGAATAAGTGTAATGAAGTTAAGAGAGATTATTTTGAAAAATAAAGCTATTTAGCAATTAAAAATTTCAAAATCTTGGTGGATAGATTTGTAGGTGTAATTATTATTAAATGAATGCATTGCGGCTTTGTGAAATATTTTTAAACCAATTATTTTTAGTTTCCTTTCATAAAATTATGTTTCCAAATACTCATAGTTAAATGGCATAATTTAAAATTTTATTTAATTATAGTTTCATTTAATAATAATAACACCTTTTAGATATGGTTTTATTTTTCAAAATTTTAATGCATTTTAAAATTTTTCTATTTTAAATGAAAGTGGAAAATTGAGTTTTAATTACAACGTCCCTCAAAAGGTGGGAAGAAATGTTTTTAACTCACCTGTAAACCATTTTATATATATCTATACCAGCTCTATGATTCAGATACTTTTACTGTTGGTTTTTAATTAAATGCATTGTGCGGCAAAGCTTTGAAGTTGGAGGCAAGTGAAGAAATAGGCTCAAAGTATTAGAAAAGTAAACTACTGTGATAACAATTTAAGTTCCACTTAAAGTTAAGGCACAACAATAGTTAATTAAAACAAATTACTTGCAAAAGGAAAAAATTTCAGATTCTTTTATGTGAATTTATAATTAAATAGTTTACAAAGAAAATTTTAAGCCAGGTATATGTAGATATAATTTTTCTCTTCTTGCATTATTTGACTTCAATTATACAAAGACTCAAGCCTACGGTATGTGATTTACCTTCCCACTAGAGTTAGCTTTATTTACTTACTTCATTGTGTAGAACTCTATTCCAAAAGGAACTTTGGCAAACTTATTCGTCTAGTATTCAATAGATAAGCATCTGTTTATTAGCGCTAACCTTATATAGCTTTCATTCTTTTCATACAAGTTTCAGACAAATGTCTTATAAGACATTTAAATATGAAAATAATCAACTCAAGCGATCTTTGTCAAAGGCTGATGATCCTCCACATACTCGTTGGAATAAACAAGGAAATTACAATATAAGTGTTTGGTGGTATTGTAAGAGAATTGTCTATTACGAGTTGATCCAGGCTGATGTAACGGTTAATTCCGTTCTCCACTGTTGACAAGTCGATCGCTTGAACGAAACAATGAAGGAAAAGCTACCAAAATTGGTGAACAGAAAAGGAGTTGTTGTTCATTAAGACAATACCAGGCTAGATACATTTTTGATAACCGAAAATAAATTGATTCAATTCGGTTGACGCATCCACCGTAAAGTCCGGATCTTGCACTATCTGACTGTTTCAGTCTCTGCAAAACTCATTTAATGTTAAAAAATTGGCCGAACGAAGTGTCGTTGAAAATCACTAGACCCCGTTTTCCGCCGATAAACTATAAACCACAGATGTTCTACATCCATGGAATTTGGAAGTTAGGTGAAAAATATTCAAAAATGATTTTGAATATATCGCCCAATATTAAGTATTGTTAGTTTTTATTTAATGTGATATAGTTAGTAACACAATGGTATCACTGGTTAAAGAGTTTAGATTCCAAACTAAATAACAATGTTTGAAATTTATTCAGAACTTTGTGAGTGAATTTTACTTCTAAATGAGATCAGTATACTATAGTTATAAAAGTGTTTTTTGTGATTATTCTCTGGGTATGCACAGACTAATAGGAAGATGTAGATTTGAATTTCTTAATAAAATTTTGTATGTGGGGTGAGTGTTGTAGTGCGTGGAATATCATTGAAGTCTTTCGACCTTAGCAATATGGTACAAACATTTCGTACCGTGAATTTCATAATTCTACCTATTACAGATTTAGAAGTATTTAAAAAAAATTAAAAAGTCAAGGTTCCAGTGGATCCATAGGGTTTAAAACACATGCAAAAGAAAGCTTATCTCAAAAAATATTTTTAAAAAATTATTTTAATGTTCTTATATGATTCGAAAATATCGAATTGTCTAAATTTATTTATGACACATTGTGCAGCGTCCTGACAGAGATATCAAACATAATATTATCACATCGAATAACTTTATGTAGAAATCCAAATGCTTTAACGAGAAGAACACACGGATTTATAATGAAAATAACCGATAGACTAGCCATTACTGATAGCTTTAAGAGGACTTTAATTGGCAGCTGATGCCTCCATATGGACGGGTTGCTACAACCATATTCAAAGAATGTATTAACATGGGTTTCAAACACTAATCTAACAATAGTAGTAGTTTAAAAAGTAAAACATTTATTTTCTTTTTCTCTGAGGATAAACTTTAAATTTATTTGTGATGGTTATAAAAATAATATCACCATAATTAAGTAGCGTGGCTGCTCTTCAAAGCTCTTCAGTAATTATTTTCATATAAAATATACCACTTATGTATGCAACAGTGTTTATTTAAATTCAAGTGTGAGTACATTAATCCACCCTGATTAAGTTGATGTATACATAATTTTAATATTAAAACTTTATTAAACACGTTTTCGAACTTTATCAATCTAAAGTATTTTGACATGCGTTGATAATTTTAAATTATTTCACTTCACATCAAGAGTCCCGGTGCAGCTTATAAAATATATTCGAGTCCATGTGCTTTAATTAGCATTTAATTCAATTAAAAATATGTGGCATCTACACAACAGCAACGCAACAGCATGGGATTGCGTGTCCTAATAAGGAGAAAAGTAAACATGGCTGTGCGTAAATTTCCACCATCATTATCACCGTATCATAATCAACGCAACACCATGGAAAACCCTCCCGGCCATCAACTAACGCCATCACAACAAATACAATCCATGCAGCATTACAAATTAGTAATGCCGCGCCGTTGCTATACTTTCTGAATATTTCGAATGAATTCCTACCGACATTGAGGGTTGCAGTCCAGCGTATCTATAAAATAAGTAGACGGTCGTTTATAGGGGCACAAATATGGAAACGTTTGTATGTTTGTATGTTTTTTCTGGCAGCTGGGGTGAAATTTTCAGCAATTTGTTGATGATACACAAGGGAGGAGTGGCTTTGCTTGTCGGATTGTCGGATTGTTGGATTTCGTCAGTGAGGTCCAACATATACTTGCCGTATCTCTGCATTTTAGTTAAGCTATGATGATGATGGAATAATAAAACGAAAAAATGTGTGTTACTTCCAACTAAATTGGCGCTGAAAAGATAAAATTGTAGAAGAAGAAGAGGATTGTTCCAGGGATTTGCTGTTAAGATTAAAATGACAACAAAAAGCATAGCATGTTTTGCAAATTGAATTGAAATACCGGAGATTTTATGGCATGAAACGGAAATCGTTTTATTATCTCATGCAACATGGAGGACATGCTTGTTTACCAACGTTCAACGTTTGGGGAGATTTGGGGGAGTATAAAGTACTGCAAACGTAATGAAAAATTATACGGAGGGTTTATTAACGCATAAATTGCGTGGGTGTTTTAACAACAATTTATTATCTGTTACTTTGCGAATACACATGCCATTTGACATACACTTTCACACAGATACTTTACGAGGCACGTACTCTAATGGATTTATATAACAACAAAATCATTACAAGATTCAACAGTGTTTATGGTTTGCTGTACGTAACCTCATCCTTGGTCGTCGTAGACTAAGTGTTTTTCCCTTAGCAGTTGCGTAAATATCTAAACATGGTTTATGTGGCAGAAGTTGGGAAGATAATTTGCCACACGATTGGGGTTACTGTAATCCCCAGTGGGTGTTTTGGCTTGATAACATACATAATCAAATATAACTTAACCTCCCTCTTTGTTAGCTAGCAAGAAAGTTACGTTATATATTGGGTGTGCTTACATTTGAGTTAATTAAAAATCATGACAACATGGCCAGAATATAGAACGTCAATTCTGTAGTGTAAGAAGGTAAACAGATTGCGTAAATTATGAGTAAAGTTGTTCTTTGTTTTTTGAAAAAAATTAAAAAATTAAATTTTTCATAAAATATGTAGTATAAGTAGTTAAGCAGGCTGTTGTAAAAAAGGAGATGGTTCAAAATATATTAATTATAAACATTTTTTAATATAAAGTTAAAAGAAAATTAGACTGTTCAAAAAGTTACCGACTGTGGATTCTAAGCACTTAATAAATATTTTGAGCAATTTGGTTTGATAATGGCATTAACTATATTCGAAGTATTCCCTAATGTTTATATAGTAATCAGATTCATGTTCACAGTTCCAGTCAGTATAGTTTCGACGAAAAGAAAGAAGCAAAGTTAAAATTGTTTAAGACGTACTAGAAAAATATGATGGTCCAAGAGAGATTATCTTCATTATGATATAATTTAAAAAAAAATAGGGTGATTCTAAAAGTAGGAAAATTCATTTATTTTAATTTGTGTTTATTTTAAATTGATTAGCAATAAAACTTTCAATCATGCTTTGTCGTATTACTGAATGTAACTTATTTACTTTTACAACTGGGTTATAAAGAGGGCGTCGCAATTCTGATGTCGCCGATGTGCAGAGTTGGTCTAGCTCCGCCACTGGAGATGGGTGAATCCATGGATGAATGGAAGAGATACAATAAATTACAATAAACTTTTCATATCGTACTAAAATAAAATGATGAAGTTTATTTGAAAGAGTGGTAATACTAAAATTTGGAGTTTCTTGGTCTATAGTGAATAAATTTTGAAAAGTGTTCTGAAGCTATACATTTCAAACTATACATTTCAATTAGAGAACTGTTGCTTCGACTCTGTATAATCACATAAAGAATGTATAAACATATAAGAATGTATATGATGGTATGAAACATTTTGTACGTTAAGACGCCTAGTGAAGAAATGAAGAAATCAAGATAGCGATTAAAATGCTCATGTAATAAGGAATATTACAGTTTCAAAGAAATCTCATGATATTCGAAGAAAACTGTTAATATGACCTGGATTTATGAATAACTTTAGCCCGTTTTTTTCTTACCTCTTGCATGGTATTCACTTGATTGGTCGGCTGTTTTCAGGTCATATGAATATTGTCGATTAGAAAACTATTTGTTCATTCAGGTCTAATGGTCTAGTTTTAAAAAAAAACGAAAGATAACTCTTTTGGGTATCAACACACTTTCTGTTCGGTACATAGAAAATTCTAACGTGATACTGTACTATTACGTTGATGCTTAAACGGTGATGTACGAGTATTTTGACGAACAGATTATAGAAGAGTTAATATGATTAATAGTAAGTGGAATTTATAATTAAAGTTCAAGGGCCTTGCTAGGAATTATATATAGATCATCTTTATTGTTTAAGATATTGTATGTATAAGGTGGCATTGTTATATTCCGTCGATGCTTCAATTTCGGGGTATTTCGATAAGCGGACTAAACAGGAATTTATACGATTAGGAAAAATTTTGTGATAGATAATTGCATAGTAAAACTATTTTATTGTTTGGAAACTCGATGGTTTTGGAAACTTGATGAAACTTGATACAAATATCAGCACTCCCAATCGAAGGCATCTATTGCTTATTTTAATGCGCTTAAAATTTAGTTAACAAAGAAGTTCATGACCGCGAAGTCGATTTGTTTGTAGTCTAGGATAGAGATAGACCGAGGTTTTGATGGAGTATCCCATTTCTTCATTATTTACAGATCTTGCAAAGCCCTTTTGTTGAAAAACACTTATTGAAACATCAGTATAAGAGTACACTGCCCTGTTTTGTTTTCAGTAATTCCAATTTGCTAAAATTCAAGCGGTCTTTGGTTCTTCTTCTATATAGTCTAGATCATAATGTTCTAATGGTGGATAGGCCATACATTGCGATATTTTTCGACAAGCTCTTGTTTGGAACTCTCAAGCCAACCGTAAGAGTGGATGGTTTAAAAACACATGGAGAAGAGTATTGTAAAAAGAAATCGAAAAATCCGGAAAAACGTGAAACGATCTAAAGATTTTGCCAAAAAACATAACCAGATGGAAGTGCTTTATTGAGAACTTCTGTTTCAATGAGAGATACAGGAACTGATAATGATGATAATGTCTTAACGACCCATTCACCTTCCCAAAACGAACGAACTATATTTTGGCAACATTGCAAATATTTTGTAGGAAAAAAATGAATTGTAAGCTGAACATATGGAATGTTTACTATCTTGGCAGGAGTGTTTTCTGTCTTCGTTTGAGCTCATTACATAGATACAGCTATCTACGATTAATTTAATATAAAAAATAAGATGATCTCAGAATGGTTATAGGCTTCTCGGGGAGGTATGTAGATCTGAGGTCAATTATTGCTTAGTCTGATGAAGTGATAAACAATAATCTAGTCAAGGCGCAAAGAGGAGTTTTAAAGTAACCTCGCAGTTAATAGAGAGTAAAAGTGCTCAGGGGCACTGACTCAACTAGCCTCAACGTAATAATAAGATGACATAGATACGATTTAAATAAAATATAAGTAATATTCTTTGAATATATTATTTGTTTTTGCTTTTAAATTAAGTGTTATTTAAAACGTGTTGAATAAAAAAAAATAATTTTTTTACGATCAATATTAACATCCTTAATATCAAGGATTACGCATATAAACTCTTTCTCCTGGAAAAGATATATGTTAAAAATATAACTAATTTATAACAAAAATTGATTTTTTTTGTGCTAACCAAAGTTCATTGGAAATACAAAACCTTTTTAAGTATAAATCAAGTTATACATATAATACAATCGAATATATTTAATTTTATATTCATGCACGCACTATTATTTATTCACTGCTAAATTAATGTTAAACGGAAACAATTTTCATAAGAAAATAGTTAAATTTTCTTGAAAAGCGTTTGCTTGGTAAGTACATAATGCGATGTTATAAAACTAAAATTACAACCGAAATAATGAGAAAAACTAATAAAAAATTAAATTTTGTTGTGGGTGTCGGAAAATTAATGGAGTTTTTCATATTATTACGATATTAACGTTACGGTAGCGTGAACACGCAAACAATAATAAATGGAATAATACCAGAAAGGTCTTTGTATGTACATTTTCAATGCCTGCTTATGGTAATGACTGTATTAATTAAATCGAGCAGATAGAAAAATTTCGTAGATAATGAATACTACGTAATTTTTGTTTTTAATTGGTTTATTTAATAATGATGGAGAAATTTAAATTCATATTTAAAATAATAGTGAAGAGGACTTAAAAGCCAAATTAAAATAATTCAAGACTATTTAAAAAAATATTTGTTAATATATGTTACATATATTTAGATTATTACATATAAGACCTTGTGCTATTTAATAAGCATATACAACATATAAAGACTTTATCTTTACTACCTTTACTTCTACGATATTTTTGATTACGGCTTAAGAAGTAGAGGAAAAAATACTATTATAAAATTAAAGCTATTTTATCTTTCCAAAAAAAAGAGTTAACTTTAGAGACAATGCATACTATTAAATTGATGGTATAAGCATCGGTTCTTCTTCTTAGTTTTTATAGTTTCGTACAACAGCACCGTTCTAAACACACGCATCAAGATAATGCGCCGCTAGATGACGCATTGGAATTCCGCTGGTACCATTTGAATTTATGTGTTTGTCATAACTTTCCCACTTGGTAAGGAGTGAGGCCCATGCAACCTCAGTTGATCTTTGGTTCACAGCACCCGATGTGAAAACGCAACTCCACCATGACATTACCAACCTTAATTGGTCAGGACAGTTGAAACTGCCTGCACTGATCCCCATGGTACCAGATACACATTTTTGGTCAGGTCACACAGGTGAAAACTCACTCACTACCACACTCCAAACAGTGCCAGATGGTGCCGGAATTTTAGTCTCTTCTTACGACAGTAATGTATTACTTCG